CGGCGCATTTGCGTGCCAATTAAGAAAAACATATCTGTTGAGAGCGAGTGCCCTGCGCGCTCCCAGCACACATGTCCAGTACTCATGGAAAGGTCCCGATCTCCTCTTTCGATCAGGACCTTTCCCGAATATGTGACCGCTGTGACCCAAAAAACCCCGCCCCGCCTCCCAGCTTCTGAAACCCTTTAGAGGGCCAGGAGGCACCGGCGCCAAGGGGTTAAATTCCTGGAGCATCATAACAAAAGTCTGTTCTCTGTCAGCATCTCTGTGAGAAGCAGTAGTCTCTCTGGCGAGGTCCAAAACAGTGAGGTCCCCCCCCTTGCTAATTCAGAGCTAGAGCTCAGCAATCAGTGGTGATTAGGAGCTTTGCTGATCACAGAGCTATAGGTCTGACCCAGCTTGAGGTGTGTCGGACCTCTGCATTGAGACCACTGCTTCCACACTCTGAGCAAGACTGCTGCAGTATAGGATTGCTGGCAGAGGACAGGCTTTTCCAGTGGTGTATTTACCTCTTGTGCTGCCCCCTAACACTAAAATTGGGCACTCCCCACCACCACCAGCACTCTGGCCCCTGCTTCGGCCACTAAAATTGGGTGCCCCCCACCACCACCAGCACACCCCCCAGCCCCCGCCAACCACCCACTAAAACTGAGCGTTCACCACCACCACCCAGGCCCCTGCCACTAAAATTGGGTGACCACCACCAGCACACCCCCTAGTCACTGCCACCACCACCACTAAAACTGGGCATTCCCCACCACCACCACAGCCCCTGCCACACTAAAATTTGGTGCCCACCACCACCACCAGCACACCCCCCCACCCCCCCCCACCACCACCCCCAAACCCCCGTTCCCCACCACCACCACCCCAGCCCCTGCCACTAAAATTGGGTGCCCCCCACCATCACCAGCACACCCCCCAGCCCCCCGCCAACACAACTAAAACTGGGCGTTCCCCACCACCACCCCCAGCCCCTGCCACTAAATGTGGGTGCACCACCAGCACACCCCTCAGCCACCACCACCACCACTACTGGGCATTCCCCACCACCACCACAGCCCCTGGCACTAAAATTGGGTGACCACCACCAGCACACCCCCTAGTCACTGCCACCACCACTAAAACTGGGCATTCCCCACCACCCACCACAGCCCCTGCCACTAAAATTGGGTGCCCACCACCAGCACACACCCCCCACCCCGCCACCACCACTAAAACTGGGCGTTCCCCACCACCCCAGCCCCTGCCACTAAAATTGGGTGCCCCCCACCATCACCAGCACACCCTCCAGCCCCCCGCCAACACCACTAAAAACTGGGCGTTCCCCACCACCACCACCACCCCAGCCCCTGCCACTAAAAGTGGGTGACCACCACCAGCACACCCCTCAGCCACCGCCACCACCACTAAAACTGGGCATTCCCCACCACCACCACCACAGCCCCTGGCACTAAAATTGGGTGCCCTCCACCACCAGCAGCACACCCCCCAGCCCCCGCCACCACCACTAAAACTGGGCATTCCCCACCACCACCACAGCCCCTGACACTAAAATTGGATGCCCTCCACCACTAGCAGCACACCCCCCCAGCCCCTGCTGCCGCCACTATAATTGGGTTCCCCCCACCACCACCATGGCATTTTAGCTGGGAGAACCATTGCCCTCACAAACAGCTGGGAAGGGGCACCAAGGGAAACCCCCCACAAAAGGGGGAGCGACTACGCGGCAACCAGAAGTGAGATCAAAGCCAGACCCAGAAGTGACAAACCGGACTCAGAAGTTACTCTGCCCTATACATTTGATGTCGATGGTTTTGAGATGAGCGGGTTTTTTGTTTTTTTTTTTTTGCTTGCATTGTGAGTGATATTTTAAACGTAATAAAAGGAGTGTTTTTAGCATACTACATTATTGGAAGTTGCTCTTTTTTTCTTTACATGTGTTTTGAACTGTTCTAAGCTGCGAAGGAGCCATGTATTAGTTCCCCCAATGATGTTTGGATTTACATTAAGCACTTTCTGCCAATCATGTAAATGAGAGGCAGTGTGATCTGGCGAGTATCTGCCAAGAGCGAAAGGTGTTTCGCAGTCCCATGCCGTGATCACCGGATCAATTTCACAGAACATTTAAATGTTTCTGCACTATACTTAGACTTTGTTTTGGACTTTGTTGGGGGGGTTTCACTTATTTCACGCATGAAAAATAACTTTTTTTTTTTAACTCAGCGCTGCTTGAAAAATTGGGAGAAGCAGGGGATTGCTCTTTCATTTTTCACCTGTTTGTTATATTTTTTTTTTTAACTTTTATAGGAATGCACACACAAAATCTTAGTATGACAAATAAACATTTCATACGTGACAAAGGAATCCGGGAGCACTTGGGGTTAGCTCAAGAGATAGCACAACAAGGAAGCTTGCTTTGCTTCTCTGTTTGTAACCTCATAGTGGTCCATCTGATATGGAAGAGGTCCCCATTTTGATGAATCATTGGAGTCCCATAAACATGGAAAAGACTCCTCTCAGCACAGTAATAAAGATTAACCCCTTGACGCCGATGTAACACACAGAACTGAGCTTTTTTCTGTGGGGGCCACATATTTGCGTACCTGTCTTTGTGCTGGGAGCGCGCCAGTGCAAAGACCGTGGTGTCACTGAGAGCACCGGGTCCCATTCTAACGATCGGGATCCGGGACTCTCGATTTCGGGTCACATGATCGCTGTGATAGCCTCTGATTGGCTATCACAGTGATCAGACACTGTACAGCCCACCCCCTTGTTTTTTGTTTTCTCTCTCTTTGAATGGAGGAGAGAGATACATTGTATTTCTCTAACTCCTGGCATAGAGGGAAAAAAAAGTTTGTAAAAAAAAAAATAAATATAAAAAAAAATAAACTAAAAAAATAAAGAAAAAATACCTAGATCAAGGTTTGATCTAGTTCAGTGCCAGGGTTAGTGTTTGGGTCAAGGTCAGGGTCAAAAGTCAAGGTCAAAAGTTCAGGGTCAGAGGTCAGGATTTTTTTTTTCGGTATTAGTGCCAGTTGGTGTCAGTGTGTTTTAGGTAAACAAAAAACAAAATGCGCACTATCGTTTCTGGGCTGTACTCCGGGTACAAACAACAAATAACACACACATATATGGTATTGCTGCGATCGTCAGGAGCTGGAAAATTTATTTTGGGTTGTTCTTTGGTGGTAGGTTATGGTAGTAACAAGAAACACACAGCTAAATAAAAAAAATTATTTTTTTTTTTTTTACTATTTCGCCAGTTTTCCTTTCCTAATAAAAAATCAGGAGATATCCATTACCATTACCCACCAAATGAAAGCCCAATTTGTCCTGAAAAAAAACGCGGTATATCACCTGGATGTACAAAGTAGTTGTGATGATATGGGCGGTTTTACTAGCACTTGTCAACTTTGCAAAATTGTGCTTAGGCATTTAGATTTGTTTTACCCTTAGCCACGAAGGGGTTAAATACTAATGTGAAAAAGAAGATTTCATATCTAGCTAACTAAAAAAAAATAAAATATGGTAGCCCTGACCAGAAAAGGCAAAGATTGAACCACTTAAAAGTATAAAGTATAAAGCCCTTAAAACCACTAAAACCCAAATCTCAAGCCACTGACCTGATGAGCCGATATGGATGGGGGCCCCATGATACTGTTTCATAGGTTGTGTTGCAATGGCCGCTAAGTCCAGTTTCTCCTGAGGAATCGGCCGCATGGTGACCACTAGATTGCAGGAGAAGTTGCCCACCTGGTGACAGGGGATGGTTGTCTGCAGAAGAGAAACAACTATTCTCACAAAAACTAAAGGGATGGAATTCAATAAGAGGGCATCATCGTTCACACGCCGTGATGGACCTGTGATCAGTAAATAGGGCCCCACCTAAACACACCGCCTCTTACCTTGTACATGCTCACGTTACGCCCCTGCTCCACATTCCTCACAGGCACCCCAAGTTTTTGCACAGTGCTTTCGAAAGAGAAGCTGCAGCCCAGATAAAACGTCACCATGTCCTTCAACTGCTCGGAGTAGTTCTCAAGGTTGGCGAGACTTCCTGTGAAGGTGCCATTTTCATATCTCCGATACAGGGGACAGTCCGTCCTACAAACAAAACCCAACAAGCTTCAAATATTTCATGAGGGACCATCACAAGGGCTACGTGAACCCTTATCTAAAAAAAACTAAGCCGTGGCATACTGGTAAGACTTCAACTTTGAAAGCTGTGCCCAATAAAGGCAAGGAGAGGACAAAGGACTAGTCACCATCATTGCCAGTGGTCTCCCTGAAACTAATCTTTTCCCCATTACTGACTTGCCATCTTGTTCTGCACTGCATCTCTGTGTGCAGGGGACCATCTTTGTAGATGTAGGGCATATCAGAACTGACCCCCTAATAACTAATGGAGGAATTTTCAAGAAGTAGCAGGAAAGGTGGAGGATGCACAGAATCATAGATTGAATGAATTAGAAGTAGGGAGATCCGCGCACTGTGGGTCCTCAGATACAGCTTCCTCTCCAGCAAGGAGAACAGTGAGCAGCATAGTATAGTGGCAACATCTGATGTCTGGTGGGGTAATGATAGAGGTAGAGCAAGCACAGATCAACAGAAATGGATGAAGGAGAAGAAGGGAGATCCATTCACCACAGGTATTCAGGTACAGCTTCCCCTCCAGCAAGGAGAACAGTGAGCAGCATAGTTGTCGCAACATCTGATGACTGGTCGGGTAATGATAGAGGTAGAGCAAGCACAGATCAACAGAATGGATGGAGAAGAAGGGAGATCCTTTCACTGCAACTCCGCAAGTACAGCTTCCTCTCCAGCAAGGAGAACAGTGAGCAGCATAGTATTGGCAACATCTGATGACTGGTTAGATAATAATAGAGGTAGAGAAAGCACAGATCTACAGTATGAAGCAGAAGCAGGGTATTCCTTGCTCTGCAGGTCCGCAGCTACAGCTTCCCATCCAGCAAGGAGAACAGAGAGAAGCATAGTAGTGGCAACATCTGATGTCTGGTGGGGTAATGATAGAGTTAGAGCAAGCACAGATCAACAGAATGGATGAAGCAGAAGCAGGGAGATCCTTTCACCGCAGGTCTTCAGGTACAGCTTCTTTTCCAGCAAGGAGAACAGTGAGCAGCATAGTAGCGGCACCATCTGATGTCTGATCGGGTAATGGTAGAGGTAGAGCAAGCACAGATCAACAGAATGGATGAAGGAGAAGAAGGGAAATCCTTTCACTGCAGGTTCTCAGGTACAGCTTCCTCTCCAGCAAGGAGAACAGAGAGCAGCATAGTAGTAGAAACATCTGATGACTGGTGGGGTAATGATAGAGGTAGAGCAAACACAGATCAACAGAATGAATGAAGGAGAAGCAGGGAGATCCTTTCACTGCAGGTCTTCAGGTATAGCTTCCCTTTCAGCAAAGAGAACAGTGACCAGCATAGTAGTGGAAACATCTGATGACTGGTCAGATAATGACAGAGGTAGAGCAAGCACAGATCAACAGAATGAATGAAGGAGAAGAAGGGAGATCCTTTTACTGCAGATCCTCAGAAATCACCAAACGTTACGGTATCCCGACTATGGTGGGGACCATTGATATGCAGATTGCAGTCAGGAGGGGGTTAAAGAAGCACAGCAGACAAATGTCCTTTTACGCTTACCGTATATCTGACTCAGTGCTCAGCGGCGGACACTTCCATTCACCCGGGGCACTGCGATATAACAGGGGAAGGGGGCCACTGTTGGCTCGGCAGAACTTTTCAAAATCGTCAGCCAGTGATCTGTGCAGGATTACCACATTGGCTTGGTTATAGCCTACAACAAAGAAAAAAACTTCTGACTCCACTTCTGAGGATGAGATACAATAAACATCAGCTTAAATCAGAAGCCTACAGCAGGCAGATCATCAAACACAGCCTTCTAAAAGACAATATATAGTCTTGTGTTGTTCAAGCCAAACAAAGGATCCTTCAAGCAATACATCGTAAAGTTATATATAGTATTTTTCCAAATAATTCAATAGGGTCCCAAACCCATAGTGTTTTCCCCAGGGGGCACATCACCTGGTGCTCCTTGCACCTTCCAGCCCCGAGCCAGACAAATGCAGCCCCATTCCTTCTAGAAAGGCATTAGTGAGAGTCCTTCCTTCACCCCGAACAAACCTGGTAAACCAGGACAGAATCAACCCGGGAGGGAAAGGATTCCTTCCGCCACACCCACCTTATTAGTTTAGGAATTAATAACTGGCGCCCCCCTGGACTAGCGGCACGAGCGTTCTGTTCCTAAAAACTGATAATAACAGATACTAAACTTGAGCCTAGTCACCATGTCCATGCGGAACGAAGTGACAGTGCCTCTTTAATGGGCCCCCTGACCCTCTCGAAACCCCTTCCTGTGCAGCCAGTGATGCTCCCCTTCTCTTCTGAGTATGGGGGAGACTGTGACCTCATCCAGTATAGCAATGCACTAGGCTAGGAGCACTGTGGATAACCCCATGTACTGTAACATGACCAAAAAAGTAATGCCAGTTCCTCAACCCCGCTGAATTTAGTGTCAGCTGTGACAGAGGAAAAAGGTATACAAAATGATCAAGGAGTTATTTGCAAAATTTGGTTTGGGCCCCCTGTGAACTCTAGTTATGAAAAAGTTAAAGGAAAACTATAATGACTTGGGTACCTTTTTACATTTTTAAGTTTATACAAGTTGAGTTTTTTTTTCTACTCTATGTGTACAATTCCTGGTTTACAAATAAACATGCAATACATGAGCAAGGATTTCCAGAGCCCTACTGGTAATCTAAGGAGATGCCATAGCAGCACCTGCCTGCACTGGGGCTGGCTGTCTCTGAATGAAACCTTGGATGGTGCTGCCCGATATGAGAGGAATCTCTGCTTTCACACATAGACTTGTGCTTCCACATATCAGCTTGAGCTACAGAACTCTATACAATAGGATTTTTTACAACAGAGGAGACCAAAGCTGCATCCTCTGGTACAGTGGTCGGCAAGCCGCGGCTCGCGAGCCACATGCGGCTCTTTGCACACTTTAATGCGGCTCTTCTGTGTGCCGAGCTCCCGCTCCCCTCCCTCCTCTCGGGCGGGGGGGACCGCCCCAAAAGTCAGGACTCTGCAGCTAGCCCAGCAATGGGCAAACTACGGACCGCATACGGCCCGGCGGACCTTTTAATCCGGCCCGTGGAGCATGGCAAACATTGGCTGTCAGGATGTAGGTGGGGCAGCGTGACGAACTCCTCTCCTCTCACAGTCCGCCCTGAAGACCGGAACGGCGCGGGAACACGGCGAGAGGAACGCGCGGAGCAAAGGTAAGTGAATTGACACAATATGGGGAATGAATTACTATAGGGGGGATGAATTACTATATGGGGGATGAATTACTATATGGGGGATGTATTACTATGGGGGATGAATTACTATGGGGGATGAATTACTATATGGGGGATGAATTACTATGGGGGATGAATTACTATGGGGGATGAATTACTATATGGGGGATGAATTACTATATGGGGGATGAATTACTATGGGGGATGAATTACTATGGGGGATGAATTACTATATGGGGGATGAATTACTATAGGGGGGATGAATTACTATATGGGGGATGAATTACTATATGGGGGATGAATTACTATATGGGGGATGTATTACTATGGGGGATGAATTACTTTGGGGGATGAATTACTTTGGGGGATGAATTACTATGGGGGGATGAATTACTATAGGGGGATGAATTACTATGGGGGGATGAATTACTATAGGGGGATGAATTACTATAGGGGGGATGAATTACTATATGGGGGATGAATTACTATGGGGGATGAATTACTATATGGGGGATGAATTACTATAGGGGGGATGAATTACTATATGGGGGATGAATTACTATATGGGGGATGAATTACTATGGGGGATGAATTACTATATGGGGGATGTATTTTCAGTTTTAAAAATGTGGCTCTCAAAATAAATTTCAATCGTGGTTTTGGCGAGATTTGGCTCAGTTGAAAAAAAAGGTTGCCCACCACTGCTCTGGTATGATAGCAGAAGGCACACAATGATTCCTCTATATAAGTCGGCTCTTTGTACAGTTGCTCTAGCTCTGAAGAAGGGAGTATGTGTCCCGAAACACGTTAGATACCCCATTGTCATATTGCCGCTGTGTCGGACTGTCAGCTTTTTTCAGCTTGTTTTATGAACCTTGGTTTGTGAGTATCCATTTTTGTCATTTTAAATAAATTTCCTTTTATCACGGTAATGCACGAGAAGAGTGCGCCCCTTCTTTGCTTTCTTCTAGTATTTTCAAGATTCCCCGATCTTTAGAGGGCTGCACCCCAACTAGTGATCCTGGGAGGCCTGCTCTCTCTGAATGAAACCTTGGATGGTGCTGCCCGATATGAGAGGAATCTCTGCTTTTACACATAGACTTGTGCTTGCACATATCAGCTTGAGCTATAGAACTCTATACAATAGGATTTTTTACAACAGAGGAGACCAAAGCTGCATCCTCTGGTGTGATAGCAGAAGACACACAATGTGACGGGAGTCACTTTGGGTGGGGGGCCCATTGAACACAGCCCCTTTTGGAGAGGTGGGGAGACCCCTGTCTCAGCTCTCCATATCCCTCTTATGTGTAAGTCACCCTGTGCTTGTTAGGGGTACAGGGTGAAATGTCTTGCTATTGTGTAGACATGTATAGGTGGGGTGTGGGGTTGTTCATTGTTTACTGCCATGTGGTCCCATTGTTCTATTGTGTCTTGCTTGGGAGCAAACTATTATGGGATGTATGTTTGTGTATTGGCTTGGTGGGGGGGTGTTTCCAGCAGCCCTCCTGATGGGACTGTCTGTTGGTGTGTGTCTCTTGTTGCGAAGTATAGATTGCCCCGCCCTGTGTCATTATGCAGGGAGGGGGAATTTGTCCCCTGAGTGTATAAAAAGCCAGTTCGAGTTTCAAATAAAGAGTTCCATGTTTATACAGACTTGTGCCCTGTAGTCTTGTGTGGTCAGCGGTGGTGTTCATGGATCAGTGTTTGGACAGGGAAGCGAGAGTCTAACGGAAATACCCTAGTGCAGTCGGGTCCGGTTCCGTTACACACAATGATTCCTCTATATAAGTCGGCTCTTTGTACAGTTGCTCTAGCTCTGAAGAAGGGATTATGTCTCCCAAAACGCGTTAGCATACGCCATTGTTAGATTACCGCTGTGTTGGACCGTCCTACTGATTTTCAGCTTGTTTTATGAACCTTGGTTTGTGAGTATCCATTTTTGTCATTTTAAATAAATTTCCTTTTATCACGGTAATGCACGAGGGGAATGCGCCCCTTCTTTGCTTTCTTCTAGTATTTTCAAGATTCCCCGATTAGAGGGCTGCACCCCAACAAGTGTCGGTTACTGTGATCCTGGGAGGCGCACGGACTTGAGCGCTTGGGTATGGTTTTTTAGTTTTTTCAGAAGACACACAATATTTATATACAATATTTGATTTTTTAAATTTTTTTAGCCCTAACCATAGTAAAATAATATATAGTATTTGCAAAAACACTAAATATTCCCATATACATTTATAATCACCAAGAAAACATGAGGCGGAAGGGGGCCTAACACGGGCTAATCGCTCTATTTATATCAACCTGATCATTGAAATGCATAAACTTCCATTTTTCCACATCCTCCCACTGGAGCGGTTCCTACATAAGAAGCCCATGATTCATCGGTAGGAGATGAAGCAGCTCTGTAGGGTAGTGAACGCTCTACTGATCATTGGACTCTGCCTGTGTGTCTTGTAATTATTTACCAAAGGATAGTAAGTCAAAGTTCACTCCCTTCTCACCACTTGTGATCTGTTCCAGCGAGGCCACCATGACACCACGTGTGTGCATACCAGGGGCAGACTGACCATTTGGAAACTCCGGCACTGCCCGAGGGCCCGGGGTCAGTAGGGGGCCCCATGAGATGCCCCTGGTACCTTTTTCATAGGCTTTTTTGAGTTTGGGCAAGCACACAGGGGCCCCCATGAGTTGTCAGTCCTCCCCTGGTCCACACGCAGTCGGAGCGTAGGCCATCAACTGAGCAACTCACACCCCAATGTCGCATACTGCAGGAGAGGAGCCATAACTGAGCAACCAACCACATGTCTGCCATAATACAGTCATGGCCAAAAAAAAATCGTCACCCCTGCATTTCTATCAGATAACGCACCACTTCGACCAGAAAAATTGTTGCAATTACAAATGTTTCAGCATTCTCGGGTTTGTATTGGTATGACACAAAAAAGTGGAGAAACAAAAAGCCAAATCTGACACATTCCACACAAAACCCCAAAAATGGACTGGACAAAATTATTGGCGCCTTCTCAAAATTATAAGAAATAATTGTATTCCAAGTTTGTGATGTTCCTGTAATTTGTAATTAAACTCACCTGTGCTGACAAGAAATCACACCGGCAACCAGTTAAAATGGTGAAAAATGGACCTAACTTTTCTGTTTTGTGTCTGTGTGTGCCACATGGAGAATGGAGCAGAGAAAGAGCAGCAAAGAATTGTCTGAGGATTTGAGAACACAAAATTGTGGGAAAGCATGGACAATCCAAAGGTTACATCTCCTGAGATCTTAATGTTCCTGTGTCCACTGTGCGCAACATTGTCAGGAAGTTTACAGCTATGGCCTGTAGCTTATTGTAACTGAACTGACCCCAGACTTGGGTATTTCTGTTAGACTACCACTTCCCTATTCGAACACCGACAACAGACACCACAGCTGACCACACAAGACTAGACGACACCAATCTTGAAGTAAACCAGGAAGT